TGCACGACATCCGTTTTTAAGCCTCTTCGCCCATACCATGGAGAATAGAAGGGTAGGAGAGGGCATGACGTCGGCCGCGTAGCCTCCACAAGCCATGCTCCCTTGACGCCTCGCCTCTTTCTCATTTCTCTCCTTACTCTCCTCACTCACCATGCCAACGTGACCACATCACGTGACCGTAGCTAGCCTTCGTCTTACTATAGGCTACTAGAATACACCACAGTCTAGCCTTCGATCTGATAAAACCTACCGGACGGAGCGCGCGCAAGCCTGCAAGGAGTCTTTCTACAATCAACCATCTATCTCACACGTGACATGTCACGCGCACCAATCACCAGAGAGATCTGCGGTCACGCTGGACACAAAATAGTTTAAACTTTTTATGACTAGGCTTCACCAATATTGCAACGTGCCCCCTCCTAGTTCTTCTAACCTCCTTCCCTTACAAAAAATTTATATCTGGCCAGATCTGAAGATTTCAGATATGGCCATATCAAAAATTGGCCACATATAACCTGATATGGTATATCTGCCAGATATAGCCTCATAACGCCAGATATAACCTGATACCCCTGGCCAGATATGGAAATCCCAGATCTGGCTAATTAAGGAAATTCCAGATCTGGCCAGGCATTTCGAAAGTACAAAAGCCTGAAATCAGCACTTTATATATTTTTATTGTCTACAATTCTCCCAAGTGCCCCGGCCCGCACTCGAGGAGTTATGGAAACGGTGGTCCTTCAGCTCCTTAGTGATCGCTACTTTTGACCAATTCCATGATTACACAGTTTCGAGTGTAATTCGTAGTCACCGTGAACAAGCGTCCCATAGGGCTCAAGTACCTATCATATCACTTTTAAGTTTTTCGTCAATGGCAGCGTTCAGGATATTGTGCATTCTGGCCAAACTTCAACCAGGCTGAGCCGCCGAAATCTCTTAACATATTATCATTCTCGTGATTGTTGTTTTAAAAGGAATTACTTAAAAGCTGAGAAATCACAACAACCAAAACCGGGATTTAGCTCGGATTCCGCGGAGCTGTTTATGACATTTTTAGCGTTTCTAACTTAATATCAGCGTTTTTGAAGTTGTACGAGAATGATAATAATGTAAAAGATATGTCTGCAGCTCACCCAGGTTGAAGGTTGGACGGAATGCACAGTACTGACACTGGCGGGACATTTTAAAAGTGGTATGGCAGGTATTTGGGTTCTGTACAGCACGTGTTCAGGGCGACTCCGAATTACACTCAAATCTGTGTAACCATAGAATTGCTCAAAATTTTCGATCACTAGGCAGCTGAAGAAACACCGTCCCCATGATTCCTCGAGTACAGGCCGAGGCACTTACGGGATTTAGCAAATTGTCTATTCGGGCGTAATGTTAACACTTTGAAATAATTTAGCTACATTGAAATCCTTCGAAAACTAGCTCAAATAATCTTAAACTTAAGCTTGTCGAAGCTGAAGTTTGGAATTATTTGTGCTAACATTTAGGTCGCGAACAATAAGTCATTCAGAGTTTTCTAACAAAGAATTTTATACTTGTTTTAACTTTTTAATATATTGAAAACCGGCCGCCAGATAAGTCTGTATATACGCCAGATAAGTCTGTCTATAGGCCATATCAGGCTGTATATATGCCAGATAAGACTGTATATACGCCAGATAAGTCTGTATATACGCCATATCAGGCTGTATATACGCCAGATAAGTCTGTATATACGCCAGATAAGACTGTATATAGGCCGTATATAATCATATAATGTTTGATAATGGCCAGATATGGCCCAGATATAAGATTTCCATACGGGTTGGCCCATACCCTTGGCGGTTGCATACCCTGTGTCAGCGGGCAATCTAAAATGCACCAGGTCGAGGGTACGTCAGTTACTGGCTGGTTAGAGGTTATGCGAAAAAGGTCTATAGTTTAATTCACCTTATGATGTACCGCAGGAAAGGCTACAAGTGCGAGCTCGTTGCTCTAGGGCACATCTCGTACGCACAAGCTCTCGTGCATTAAGCGCAGCTGCCAGCGCTATGAGCTCGCGCGTATAGCCTTCGCTGCGGTGCAACATAAGGTGAAAAGGAGGGATGGGGTTCTCCCCAATAGAACTAAACACGACCTACTGTAATCCTGACCTGCGCACAGAAGGATGTGCCAGCGCGCACCTTGCAGTACATGGCCGCGGCCGCAGCGTTTCGTCAAGCTATGACTTCGCGGTGCTGTATCGAGGCTTTCTAGGGGCAAAGCTCCTTAAGGTCTAGCCCTGTCCGTCCGGCGTCCGTGCTCACATCGGTCTTGCTGGTACTCGTGCGTTCACGTGCTCGTGTAGGGCAAAAACAAAATGATGAAAACAAAATGTTTGCGCAGTCGATAGGATTCGAACCTGTCGGGGGAGACCCTAATGGATTTCTCGTCCATCGTTTTAACCACTCGGCCACCACTGCGGGACGAGTAGGGGGCTCTGAGATGTGGTAGTAACTCAAGAGCTGGGGATGTCATGGATGGAACATTGCACGTAGCAACTCAACGTCTATACAAGAGAGGGCGCTGCGGTCAAATGAGTATATAATCGCGTTAAACTTTGCGTGCATTGGCTCAACGTTTACAGACGAGAGTGCGCTGCGGTCAAATGCTCAAATGCGTATATAACGCCGTTCCATACCACACATTCTCTTCCTGACATGGATGAAAACGAACGAAAGGCTCGGCATGCTGCGCCTCAGCGTCTACGCAGACAAGCACCACCAGAGCTTCGCCCCAATCATTCACGACGTGGAGATGCAGTCATTTTTGTTTCCTAGGGTGTCCGCATACCAATCGAAGGCGCGGAAGGCGTGGCGGCCTTCTCTGGTCCTGAGCTGCTCTCCTCGCGGGCCTCGCGGGTTCAGGTCGCCAGTCAATGGTCTCATGACAGGTTCGTCACTAGAGGCGCAAACTGCCAGCATAATGGCTATTTATGGGTGTCAAAAGTCATTCAAATTAGTCGTTGGTTGTTGACGCAGCAAGAGGTTAGTCTGCCAGAATATGGCGACATTGTTACCCACTGTAGATAAGCAATTTAGCCAGCGATCCGAGAACGCTCTTTATTTCGACGATGGCACAAGAGCTGTCGGGGCTTTAAAACTCCCTTGCGCTTCCGTGCCTGAAAAACATGCTCTTTCGATCCAAGCAAACATGATAACGATGCACCCTGCTACGTGCTACTGCCACTGGTGCCTGCTGTCACCACGGTACTTTAGGTGTTCCCAAGAAACAAAATTGGGTTGTGTGTGTGTTTATACAGCCTAGAACTTGGTCTGCCTCACAGGGGCGACGAGTCTCCCAGCTGTAGATGAGAAATTTAGCCAGTGCGGTACAGCCGCTAGCCTGGGGTCTTTAACGTGCACCACGCAGTAGTGATACACGACCGCACGCCGGTACGATACTCATCCAGATCGAAACGGGCAGGGGTGGGGCTCGAACCCAGGATCCCTGGGTTCTGCAGCGCGAGCTTTCGCTCCACGTGCTCCGAGCTGGTGTGCGCTAGACCACTCGGCCACCGATCCCCCTCCCAAGAAACAGATATGACAAGCAGCGTGCCAAGCGGACCGTGCGCGAGACATGCCGTGAACCGCGTTTGGAGACACAGAAAAGCTAGAGTTCAGACGCTTTACACACGCGCCAGATTGAGCCGCCATAGCCGCCCTTCTCTTGTCTTACCGAGATGCCGAGCCACTGAAGCGGGCGTTGACGGGTCTTCACAAGGGCCTATGCTGGGCACAAGAACACAGTGGCATCTAAAATGGCAGTAACCTGTCCTGCTGTGGTAATCTTGAAGTGAAGCGAACGGAATAAGAGGGAACAAAAACTGAAGGTCAGTTATGGCGGCGCCCATGCACAGCTGCTGCAAAGCGTCTATAGGCTCCCTACCCGAATTCAGTTGCGCGTTCATCCCCGTAGGGCCGTCTTTCCTGCACGGCTGTTTATGATCCTGCTCCTCACGTGACTGATTTCGGCGAATAGTGGCGCCGCACGTTCGAGGCACGCGGCGCGTTTAAAAGCAGGGCTACGTACGGCAGGGAGCGTGCAACGTCTACTTTCCTGCACGGCACTTGATCCGGCTCCTCACGTGATCGTATCTCGGCGAATAGCGGCGCGGTGGCACGTGTAATACAGACGCGCAACTCTAACTCAAAAAGCCTTTACCGAGTGCCCTCAATGCAGAGCGGAGCACCTCATCGGCGAAAGCGCCTTCTATAGGGAGCCATTTTGTGGGCAGGTCAGGACTACAGTAGGTCGTGGAGCTAAAGATGGTGGCGTCAATCGCCGCTTATGGCCAGTGCCAGCGAAGCAATTACTATTGCGAAAGATTGGGCGAGGTATCTAGAAAGTATCGTAAGAGAAAATATTGTCGGAAGAGTTACGATTCGAGCCAGCTAGAGCTGCCATTAGAGCGGCACGTCGCGGAAGCCAGAGCTTGGCGAGGGCGGCCGTCGTAATGTCGGTGCCGATAAGACTTTCGTTATGTCACCCTTGCTTGAACTTGCCTGAAACGTTCCCATTGTCGCTTCTTTACTTTAAAAACAAAAATAATTATATTTTATTTTAATCGTTTGCAATGAATGAAAAGCGTGAATATACCTAATTCATTTGCATCCTATATAAAAAATAAGTTGACCACAGTTTTTATTTTGTTTCCGTTTCAACAGCGTACCTTGACGTGAAGATCAAATGGGGTTATTATACCGTGTTACACCGGACAACCTAGTTTTGCTCAATGACAGTTGCGAAATGTCATTGAAGAGCGGTAGTCTAACTAGGGTATAAATGGCCCTAAAAACTTAGCTATTGTAGTGAGTGAATTCTATCTACATCACAACAACCGATTCTAACTAGCCATCCAGGCAGCGCTATACTCGGATAGTGCAAAGTGATCGTGGTATCTATAAGCAGAGTTAGCGTTGCGCTACATGTGTGATCGGAATCGTATTGTAATTAGAATTGGTGGAGCATACCTTGGGCGGCACGGCGTTTGGGTCAGTTGTCAGGCGGAGGTCTGGGAACTTGATGAAGTGAGATGACCACTCCCTGCCCGTCATCTTGCCATTAGGATGCAAGTAGACAGTCGCTAAAGGCGGCGATTTGCGCAAATATAGTATCAGTTCCAAGGAAATTCAACTCAGAAGGCAGTCGCAGAGGAATCAAGCTCATCGGTATATTTTTTTCTATCCTAGCCGCTATCTATTGCCTCAGTAAAGCGGACCTCGAGCCTTTAAACGAAACGTATAGTTTGCGTTTGCAATGCGAAAAACATTAGCGTTTTTTTTTGTCCGACACTCTGTATTCATAATAATCATCTGTTGATTTACACTTGGCTAATGTAGAAAGTACAAATAGAAGCTCTACAACACACTCCTCACGGTTAAACCCTAACATCGAAACAGTGTTACCAGTATATTGAAAAGTTCTTCAACGAAACGGACGACAGACATTAAAAGCTTTAAAAAGAATAAAATTTTACAAGCAACACCTGCCACGTGGCTGACTTTTGGAAGTGGGTGGCACTATTCAATTTATCTCTTCATAGCATCTATGAGGTGAAATCTAGTTACCTGAGTGTTCCTCTACAAAAACCCCTCCAGGAGCCCAGGTGTTGTCTTGGTACAGATAGTAGACGTCATCGGTTGGTACAAACATCACGGACAGTGTGTACTCCAGATCCTCAACAAGACCTGAAACTTTTATTATCAGTTCGGGTACCAGCTTCCTGAAAAGGGCAAAAAAATTGTTCGCATAAGGTATAATGTCGTAAAGACTCTCGATACGATTCATGGTTGACGTTTCTTAGCGTCGCCGTTCTAATCCGGAGCGTAAGTTTGTTTTCCTTGCAGGGTTTGCGGTGACGTCAGAACGACGCCGAGTTATGATTGGCTCTGATTGAAGGATAGTGGGTAGACTTTAAGACAGCCTGCTTTGAGCTCTACCCATTATCCTTCAATCGGAGCCAATCGGAACTCGGCGTCGTTCTGACGTCACCGCAACCCCTCCAAAAGAAGCAGACGAACTTGCGCCCCGCATTCTGCCATCATGTCTCCAGCGAACACTATCTTTTGCACGATGTATAACAATGCGATTGTGGCTTTAGAGTGATAATCAGCCCATACTGCTCTGGGACTTCTCACAGCCGAACCTACTCACTACAGCCGAACCTACGAGGTAGCCAGGTCCAGTCACGAGCCAGCTAAAAACCACGTGGTATAGCTCTCCGACGCACTCCATGGCACGCGAATCGGAGCAAAGGTCGGAGTCCTATACTACGTGGTTTCTTGTGTGCTCGTGAGTGTAGCTGGAGGCTTCTATCTTTAACGTCATGGCATGAGGGCGTAGTGGCACACGCCTTTCGAGCACTCGTCAATCGAACGAATAACACGTCGGGTCACGCGGCTGCGGACGCCTGGGTGGCGTCTGGTCAGAACATGGTGAGAACACGGTGCACGATCAGAACGGGTCCCACGGCCGTGCAGACGAAAATGGGCAGCACGCAGAAGGCGACTATTGCGATGCTCTACACAGGGCAGGGGGGTAAAGACGCGAGCCGAACGTGGTAATTCCTGGGCGCTGACATCGGCGGTTCCGAGCGAAAGAGCAAAGAAGCAAAGAAGAGAGCGACAGAAGAGCGGAGAAGGAAAGCAGAAAAAAAATTAGGCCTGCTAGGTTTGCCACGACGAGTTGAAGTTCCTCGAGCGCTTGCCAACTTTATTGAGCTTTATACAATGCGCGATTCCGGATTTTTCCCGCAAAGTAAGCTAGAAAGGAACAAGGCACAGACCTTGCAGGTGATGGTTTGCTGCTTTTTTGTGGATAATAGGGAGTTTTAGAATAGCGCACGCTAAAGCTTTGCGTACGCAAAGAATAGCGTCGTCGCCACTGCGCATGCTCCGAACGCAAACCAGGTTTTGCGCTTTGCGTGCGCAAATTTAGCGCGCGCTATTTCTCGGAAATAGCGTGCGTACGCAAAGAGTCTTTGCGCTTCTCCAAGGAGGATTCGTGATGGGAAGTTGGCTGAAGCCAAGACGAGCACAGTTGAAAAAAAATGGCGGCTTCCAGGATTATGTCGGCGGCTGCTTTGGCGGCGTCGTGAGTGCGACGTCGGCGGCATCCTCGCGACTGCAATTTTCAATACGGGACGACGGTTTGGCAGCGATCACCGGCAACTTGATGCTTGCGACGCGCGAACATATCACGGCGAAGGAACGATGTGCGAAGGTCAGTACACGAGACCTCTCTTGCCGAGGCGACGCAAGCGGACACGGCCGGTCAACCGCTTGCGTCGTGTTCTCATGTTTAAACAAATTAAAATGCTACTCTGGACCAAAAAACTCGTTTTCTTTTAAAGTTACATCATTTCGTGTGTGAAATAAAAATTTGACTATTTTGGTGGCGTCGCAAGCGCGAGATGCTTAGGCTTTTGCGTCGCGGCGGAGAAACGCTATTCTAAAACTCCCCTGCGTCGCGTGCGCTAATACAAGCGCTAAATTTAGCGCTAGCGTGCGCTAAAATTGCGTACGTTATTCTAGAACTCTCTAATAAGGCGTTGCCAGCGATATAAGACCATCGAGACCGCTTAGTGGGATCGCCGATGTCCGCATGTTTCGCCGTTCCCAAGCGGCCTAGTGCTCCTGGGACCTTTCCCTTTAGAACAGTGGTTCTCAATCATTGATGTTTCACGGACCCCTTGTGAATCGGCGGGGATGATGGAGGACCCCCGTTCGTGGTGAGAGGAGAGGAAAGGTATAGGTCAATTATGATAATGATTTCATAGATTGATATAACTAAGAGCTAGTGTAAAGTAAACTTCTCTTATTGACATACCCACGAGAAAACTCACCCGGAAATTGGAACATTTATTCTCAATCTGAAAGAAGACATCTTTTATTGGCGGTCTTGACTGATGAGGCAGGGCTTCGCGGACCCCTGAATGCCTTCGCTGACCCCTAAGGGTCCGCACACCCCCATTTGTGAACCACTGGTCTAGCATATTATACTAACTCTATGATACAGGATGATCGCACCACTTCCGGCCGCCATAACAGGGGGAGAGAAATACTTACGGTTCTCCTATGTTGACCTCGTGCTTGAGCAAGTGCACGTCTCTTGGTTCATTAGCGAGCAATTTCGCGAGAGTTAAGTCCGGTTCAGACACTTGCGTTTGAGTGTGTTTGACTGCGTTGCGTCGAGAACCGAAAGTGAGTCACCGGCACATCTGTGCTTCGTATGAAGTGTGGAATCCAATTCAAGGAATCATCTTGGCACGCGAGATAAGCAGCAGGGATGTCCTGGTTTCTCGCAGCCGCAACGCAGTCAAACGGAGTCAAACGCAACTGTCTGAACCAGGCTTTACGCTCTAGAAATGACTCATTCTTGTCATTCCACGTTGCCGATTAGCACCGGCACGAACAAAACGTCACAGATGAAGTTCCTTCGATTATCCCTAACAACGGACGCCACCGATGCTGCTGAGCTTCGGTGATCCCAGCTAAGCAGACGGTGCTTGCTTTGTTGGAATTGTTTTCTAAAAAAATAGTTACACAGCCGTGAAGGAGAAAACTATACTAATAGTATTTCTGACAATGAAAATACACAAATAACAAGAACCCGCCCGTTCACTAGCTCTTCCTTCTTTCTCATATCTTCGTTCGCGCATTTAATGCGCGTCGCAACGCTTTTTGCTTCTGCCTTTTTACGCGCGTGTATTTTTGCGTTGGTAGCAACGGGCCGCGGGACGGGCGTCATTAAAACGACCGTGGCCATCCGCCGGCCTGCCGAAACGCCGTCGCAGGCCGGGGTTCGGAGTCCCCTGCCTTAGAGCGACAGGTGGCAACTGGACAGGGGCGGATCCAGACCTCCATTTTAGGGGGAAGGGGGGGGGGGGGCGGTTCCTCGGTGTAAAACGGCCCGGGGGGGGGGGGGGGGGGAGTGTTTATATTTAATGTGAAGTTATTGTTTTTACTAAACTCTGATAACATAATATAAATCTTATCGGTTTACCTGTCGGGGATGAACTCTTTGAATTAAAACCTTTCGGGCGACCACGCTAGAGGTAAGTATCTAGAAAATTGTGGTGGCACTATCCTTTCTGAACACCATAACGCAAGGATGTTTGTAGTTCATAGGAAACGTGATTACTCCATTCACGTGGCATCGCGCTAGAAATAGAAAAAGAAGTTTAACTACTGGGGATGAATGTTTGGTGCTATAGCGGCTGTGACAATCGCAGACAGTGTAACTTGATGGCTTAGATATCCCCGGCAAGGCTACAACTTTTGGGCTCCTTTTGCTTGAATATTTATATATTCTCGTTACACCCGCAGAGCATGTACGGAGAGGCAGCCTTTGCCAACTATACGGAGGATGCTCCCGCAGCTAATGACAATGCGAAAAACGTTTTAATCTATAACTCGGCTGTTCTTTGAGATTAAGCTTGGCATAGCAGTTAGAACTTTATATTCAGTGCCAAAGTGCAGAACGCGGTTTTAAAACATACTTTTCATTGTCGCCGGTTGCTTCAATGGAGCGAGTACGTTGCAAACAAGCGACAAAAATGGCCCGGCGGCTTCGACGCTGCTCGCGGCGTCAAAACACTGTTGACGCAGCGAACGAAACGAACGCTGCATGGCAAGTTCGTCGGTTGTTCGCCGTATTTTTGGAATGTCCAAAGCGCAGCACATGCGGCATTGCCAACCCAAACTTGTGTTTTCACGTGTTCTGGATGCAACTCGAGAGAACGAAAGCGAATAATTGTTGAATATTTTTGAAAGCATGTTGCAGTTCCGTAACTGTAACTTTTAAACTTAGACAAGACCTTAAACCAGCAATGGATCCTTCAAAATTATATTCAATTTCACTTCGTCTGGATATTTTCTGCATGAAAGGAACACTTACTTGTTTCTGGGTAGTTAGCTCATTCGTCAGTGTCGAGAGGACAGGTGCAGAGATATGATGGGGCAGAGCGGTTGTCCGGTCGGCGAATCTCAACTGGGCTAAAGGCCGATCACGACTGCAGCATGGATGTTTGGGAGTCGGTGTTCACTCGAACGCCCATAGGCACTGTCTATTTAATTTATGCAGACTTGGACGTAGTTCAACTACTCTACTCAAACTACTGTAGTTTAACTACTTTTTCGAGTAACTTGGTAACTTTCAATTACAACTTGAGTTGGGTAATTAGTAGTTTAATTTAACTACTTTTTTCAGGTAACTTCTACTCAAATTACTAACTACTTTCGAAATTATATAGTGCTAAATTTGCCCATCACGAAAATTTGAGCGCAGAAATGAATAAGACGCCGGCAGATGAAATGGCATTTCCGAACAACGGGCCCCCATGTTCGGGAAGGCGTCCTTGGGCCAAGGTGGCGACGAGCAGCCAAAACATAACACCGGCACGCACGAACGCGGGAAGAGATGCTGAACAAGCCTTGGTCGCGTATTGACCTAATCCGGTAATGCAAGCAGGCGCCGCGTTTCCAGCTGCAACCGTGAAAGACGGGGGCACTCTGAGAGTTGTTTTCTTGCTGTCTGTCTTTAGTGAGTTCTGACTCAAGCGGTAGGTTCCACGGGAGGCGCCACTGGAATGACCTCGCAGCTGGGCGCCTTGTCGTCAGCGCATACGCCTTTGCAAAGCCGGACTCCCCCGCGCACAAACCCTGGTACGGATAATCCGTTCATGGGAACACGTTACCGCTTCCAGCTGCAACTGTA